TGACACTTTCTCTACCTGATGTTCCCATGGGTTTTTGGAGGCCGGCAAATTATATTTTTTGCATAATGACTAGTGCACTAACGTTGCCACTCTGTCATGTCTAACTCTGTAATCTGTTTGTGCAATCTTTGGACATTCATAGATGAGGTGTGAAGCAATTTCATCTTTTTCTTGGCAGAGTCGACATTTGCTGTTAGCATTAATTCCTTGGAAAGTAGAGGGTACGTTGCTTGAGTTTGATCCTGGTGGGCTCAGTTAGCTAGCTGGCTGAAGCTTGACTCAGCCTTCCATTCTTCCAAACTCAGTAAATTGAGTACATAGCTCATCAAGGGGGCAAGGATGTGTAGCCTGCATAATTTAATTGTAAAGCACCCAGAGAATGCTTTAAGCACTATGCGGTGGTATATAAGTAGGAGCCTTCTGTTTGAAGGGCTGACTTGCTTTAAATCTGGATTAAATGTAATGAAGGGTAAGAATACAGAATAGTAGCCTTCAAGTAACTCTTTGACAATCAGAGCCTGGACATTAGGTTGTACAAAACAGTTCATATAGTCACATATAGTCACCATAGTCTCCATTAGAGTGAGATACTGTACACTGCATTTTATTTAAATGCCACTTTAAATCTGTGCTGTCCTTTTCCTTTTGGGGGGGTGATGAATTTCCTCTTATTTGAATATGCATAGGTGTTTCCCTTGACCATACTTAAGACCTTACTCAGTTTAAGAATTGAACCTAAGAATAAGTAGAGGTCAATGGAAAATAAAGAAAACAGGCAAGTATAAAGAAAAAGTCAATGAAATAAGTAATAAATGTGTCTAAAAACAAAGCAAGCGAGTAAAAGGAAAGTAGCCTGAGAGATGCCATTAAAGATCTAAAGTAAAAGTGTGAGAGTTTTGGTTTGGTTTGATTTGTTTTGTAAACAGAACTACCTTGGAATTTGATCAAATTAACAGTAGATCAGAGCAATGAAGTACAAGTCAGTTGGGAGGGGGGGACCAGAACTTAAGTTTAAGCTTCCTTAAGATGCACAACAACATAGTAAGCAACAAAAATATAAGATTGGCTTTAAGACTGGGCAATCTACAGTGCTTTGTAATTTTTTTTGTTCTACCATATGGTAAAATTAATGCAAAAAGAATTGTAGAAGGAGGAGCACTTCCTACTGAAGAACCTTAGAGACTGTTTGGAGGCAATGTCATTTGTTTGAGCTGCCACATCCAAAGGGAACCAGAATTATCCAAAGTCAGATTAGTCATGCAAACATCCAACCACTGCTAGGACAGGAAGAAGAACAGAAAAAATAAAAATAAAAAGTGAGGGCAAATGTTTTAGATCCTCTTCTCACAGCTGTGCTGGAGGGGGAAAGCAAGGGAAGAGTGTGTGAGCTCAAAACTCATGCATTTAACACAAATGCATTTAACTCATGCATTTAACACAGAACCACAGTTTCATGTTATATCCAAAACAAACCTATACAGTATCTTACAGATTTTTGTAGTCCATGATAATTGGGTCTTCAGCTTCAATTATTAGGCATCAAATGAATAAATGTCATTTCCAATTAAAGCAAAAGAAGAAGGAATAATCTACCACAATTGCTTCAGTAATCTGCTGCAAAATTACTACTTTTGTATGATGTCACAACAACCCCAAAATATCCCAGTGATTAGTGTAGAAGTCTTAAGAAGATTAGAAAATTAGAGTTGTAATAGTGAATACTGTAATGGGTTCAAATACATTAGTTTCTATAAATATTTGTATAGTATATATAACCACATTCAGTGAAACATTCTGAGAATCTAAAACTGAGAAGCAGACACTTACATTTATCATTCAATGGCTCAAATCCAGTAGTAAGTTGCAAATAGAGTAGGCTCACTGAATCAATGGGGATTTGGTGTGTCATTTCCTCTGAAAGTTCCATGGAATCAATGGACATACTTTAGTTGTGACTTTCTACTGGATTTCAGCTACTAAATCAAATATTTTAAAAATCTTTAATCTGAATACTGTGTTTTAAAACAAGACATACATTCACAGTGTACCATGAAATGAGACTATTGCTATTATTAAAATTATTCCCATGTGAATATTTATATACTTGAATGGTTAATGAGTGGATTTACAAATCTAAATGTTTGTAAAAGAAACCATATGAGTGAGAGACTTAATTAGAAGTCATTGGTAATTATTTTAAAAGAGAGAGAGAGGTGAAAGGATGATGCAGGGAAAGTTGGGGAAAAACAATTGTAAACCATGCTTGTTTTTATTCCATTTTGTGGTGTTTTAAAGCAACACTGAACTATACTGTGGTAGGTGGATTAGAGGTCTATGAACATGCATTCCACTCAGTGGCAGCTGGAATCCATTGTAGCTAATGGGGCAAAAGGCACGGCACCAGTCAGTGGAGCCAAGTGTGAGCATGGAATAGTCAGGAGCAAAAGTAGGTATTCCTACACATACACACAAATAAAGGCAGGCAAAGAAGCAAACGTTTAGGCACAGACAAGGCAGGAGGCAAGTGCCTGTGGTGCCCTGACCAGTAGTACAGGTGGAATCCTTCTTCTGGTGCAGAGGTGGGCAGGACTGGGACAGCTTGGGGTAGCCTGAGCCTGGAGTTCAGCAATTACCGTAACACACGAGGCACAACCGCTACCAATGGTGATGAGGACTGCCACCCCTGCGGGAGGCAAGATTCCATGTGTACGACTCAGAAGCCCCCTTTAATATGCTTCAGAAAAGCATACATGTACCACTGGTAATAGACCGTCAGGCTGGGGTCTGCAGGATCAGAATTAGAGTTAAATCTGTTGGATCTTGGGTTGCCCAGTTCTCCCAAGAAGAGCTTGGATTAGGCTCCTCAGCTATACCAGCCTTCAGTAGCTAATTTCTCTCCATTTGGGAAAAGTTCCAAAGAAATAAATAGATCTGATTTACTAGACAATTAAACTGCCTTCCTTTCTCTCATTAGCCAATATGAGTTCGCTGGCTTTTGGAACTGAGCGGTCTGCTGCATTCCCCACATCCCACTATCCAAGGTGGGATCAGTCTGGAAACTATTTTAATTTGTGTCTGTAAATGCCAAACAATGTTTGACTCTTCCTATCAAAGAACTTCACTGTATTTCATATTGTGCTAATTACGCTAGGGTGTAAAAAGTTCCATTTTGTCCATTATGCCTATGTTTTAAATGTCCAAAGATCTCTATGTTATTGGCCTTTTGAATGTTTAATTAATGGTGCTATTTTCTTCAGAACAAACATTTTGTGTGGCTCATCATGCAGTTCATTGTCATTGCTTGTGCAGAGATTTGTTGCAAAATGGTACTTACTGTGTTTTTTCTTGAATAAGGATCTGTTTAAATTTTGGTGGTCTGCATAAAACAAGTTTACTTATTTAACTTGCCAAGAAGGAGACAAAAAACATTGCCTGTGTCTGCAGTTGGTTCAAACATGCAAAAACCAGTGTTTGCCTAACCATTGCTTGAAATTTCTACACAGAAGTCTTGTTATTCATTCTGAATCAAGGTTACAATTATGCCTTTGACTCTTTTTTACTGATTGTGATATGTAGCACTGTTAATGATGTAAAACGTTGTGTAACTGTCCTCTTTCATTATGACTAAGTAAATATTCAGAATTATATAAAACTGAGATAAACAATCAAATGTTGTCCTGGTATGACATTGAACCAGGGCATCAATAGACAAGTACCATGACAAAAAGATAAAAATTCAGAATGGTGCAAACCAGTATTTATGAAGGCATGCCAATACATCTTGTGCCTTAGCTCCTTCACAGGAAAATGACTTTTATACAAAAATTGATCTGCTTTCCAGGCATAGAAACTCTTTAAAAAAAGAGTGCTGTTTGTAGAGTTGACATGCTCTGAACCAGTGGTGGCTGGTGTGCATTCTGTTTCATAGGGAAGAAGGCATAGCAGCCAATGGTGGGCAGTGACAGGAGTGACAGGCAGGACCAAGAGCAAAAGTGAACAGTAGAGATGCATAAGCATGTCCATATGCACAATAAGACACACACAAGCATTCCCTCTCTCTTTCATGCACGCTAAGACATAGGCAGGCAAGACTCATTCACTCAGACACTGCTTTGCTCCAAACCCATTCATTCACTCCACAGAACTCAGCTGAAGAATATGAAAACACACCTTGACCCCAGATTAGAAATGTTTCTGTCTATTGTGCTTTCCCTTGATACGTAGTTTCAAAGCTGGGCAATTGACTTGTTCACTCACATCCATGTTAGTTTCTTCCCCCACATACTTTGATATGCAGTCTGGGAGATTAGCAGGAGGTTCTGCCTTTCGACTTCTGCAAAGGAAGTAGACTGGAGTGGGCTGGCTGCAGGGTAATCTGATTCTGACGTAGGACAATGCCCATTTGTCCTTGTGAATAAAGTCTTCTTTGCCCAGAAAGATCAGCCTTTGTATAAAAATGATTTTCCTCACAGATAGCTTTGGTTTGAAATCTTTAAAACACATCCTTGTCCATAGGGTGAAGAGGTACAATATTCTCTGCACTTCATTCTCCTGGTTGTGCTCATCTGGGTAGTGGTTACTAACAGCAAATCACACAGATCAGATGCAGAGATGGGCATGAGCTGCCCGTCTGGTGGTTCATGCTGATTCTTTTTTTTTTTCTGAACAGCAGTTCCCAGTCATGCAAGCAGCCATTCAGAGGCACACCTGGAGGAGGTGGGGCAGGGAAGCTAGGGTTCTGCCCCTGAGGAGGTGGGGCTCCCAAGGTTCTTTGTTTCCAGAAAAACTGCTGGAGGCCTGCAGGAATAGAAATAGGACATTTGGGGCACACACAAAAATCCCCCCTCCCCTGGTCTTTATTTTTATCTTCAGCAATGAGGTGGAGCCAGCTCTGAAGAAGTCTTAACTTTATCCCTCATTACTTTCTCCTATTTGTTCTATCTGTCAGGCCACCTGCCTCTTGATGTTCCTAAATTTTGTTTTTCCTTCTTGTGTTGTAGGTCCACACATTTCGAGGTCCACACTGGTGTGAGTACTGTGCCAACTTCATGTGGGGACTCATTGCTCAGGGAGTAAGATGTACAGGTAATATCTTGTTGAGACCATTCTTTTTCTTGATACCCATATTCTGCCAGGTGGTGGAAAACAGTGTTATATCAGGATGAAAAGAACCAGTTTCAATTTATGGCACCCTTTCAAACAATAGATAAAGGTGACAAGAGGCTTGCAGTAAATTATGCGAATTTTATACATAAAAGTTTAATGGCCTAAATCTAGTTAGTAATCCCAATTAGAGTAGATCCATTAAATCAGGTTTGGACTAGTTCAATAGATTCACTCTAGTTTGGAATAATTCGGCTGGATTCAAGCCAGTATGTACTACCATATTTGTTTTCATTATTGTCAGTTGTCAGTATTTAATAAGTGAAAAATCATGATTCTGTAGTTCAGAGCTTAACATTCTGCTGCATTAGGTTACCACCATTTAACTCTAAGCAGACAAACAAAATTTGTCTACACAGGAAATGTTTAATGAAAACTCCAAAACCAAATAAAGGGAGTATCTTAAGTACAGCTGGCTGGATTTGTTTAGATTCCACTAACTCTCCATCATTAAGAACTGAAGTTCTTAGGCCTTTCACATATCGAGAAATCATGCAAAATATCAAACCTTAGAAATAATCAGCTACAACTAGTTTTGTGACCTGCAGCTTTACAACTTGAGATAACAAAGGCATAACACATTTGTTTTTGCAAAAGTACCTTAAAAACTTGCAACATCATTGTGTAAAGAGGGTTAAAGCCACTGAGGAAGAAGTGTAGGCATTCTTCTATTTTTAAAATATTTGGGGGGAGAAAGAAATATTATTCATGAATTTACTAGCAACGTGTCACTTTTATAAAAATAACAGCTAGCACAAAGCAGAACTGCTGGATAACTCAGTGGTTTAGGCATCTGCTTGGGAGTTCAACCCCCCACTGTGCTTCCTTGGCAAGGGCTGGACTTGTTGAATCATTGGGTCCCTTCTAGCTCTGAAGTTCTGTTGCTGTTTATTTATTTTTAAACTATACTCTGGACAAAATGCATAGGTATACTTCTGTCTAATTATTCACTAGGATATGTACATATAACCCTATTCCTTTGTGCAACACAAAAATAAGTCCCAATGGCCAAAATCCTGTGGCTTGGCATAGTAAATTATTCTGGAGTAGTCTTGTTGGATCAGTGGGGATTTGGTGAGTTAGAGTAGGCCCATTTGAATCAATGGAACCTACAGAGCAGTTTTCACTAAATCCTCATTGAACTGAATGGGCCTACTCTTCTATAATTTACCACGTTAAGCAATAGGATTTTTTCCACTGAATTCAGCAGAACCTATTTCCAGCTAAGTAAGAATGGGATTGTATTTGTTCCTGCTTTCCAGTGTTCTAGAAAATAAATGCAAAGACTGTGGCGAAAATTGAATCAAATTCATTAATACTTTCCCCCAACCACTCAATGCAACTTCTGTTCTCCATGTGTTTGCTCTCTCTCTCTCTCTTTTCTCCTTTCAATCTATCTCTCCTCCCTCCACATCTTCATAATAATTATAATAATGATATCTTAGAACTGGAGAGCTGGAAGGGACCCTCTGGATCATCGAATCCAGCCCTCATCAAGGAGACACAGTGGGGAGTTGAACTCCCAACTTTGGCTCCACAACCAGATGCCTGACCCATGCATACCCTCATGTTAACATCTTCAGTGGACAGCTTTCCACAATATGCCTGCCATCTGAGACAAACCAGGTGGCTACCAAGGAGATGACAGTCTCAGTGGTGGCCTCTTCAAGGGAATGCTTAATGAGAGTGGCCCCTTTGATCTCTGCTTTATTGTCCTTTCAATGTTAAGCAAAAACCAGCCTGTTTTATCAGGACCTGTAGGCATAGCTTTAATCCTAATCATTTTATGTCCTTGGTGCCTTTTGGATCTTGAATTTTTATAACTGTTCAGATATGTTTTATTTGTATCTTGTTTTGTATCTGTTTAAATATAAAATGGCTTGTAAATTTGAAGGAAGAATAACAGAACAATAGACAAATACATTAATGCACTTCATCTTCTAAGCCAATTTTAGTCATGGCCATTTGGCAAACATTTCCAACATCCTCCACATGGTGGTCACAGTATTTGCTTCATATTTTATCTGTTTCCTAAGTGTGCTTATAGCACAGTCCTACACATGACTGTTCAGATGTATGTTTCATTCAGTTCAGCAGGATATACTGTCAAGCACTGAGCACAGGATTGCAGCTTTAAATCATTTTTATTTTTATGCAGACTTATTAATACCCACAATTCATTACATAGTACATTATTTAGACAGATAGTGTATTTGGGGCCCCGAGACATTAAAATGTAGAATTTGTCTTCGTTTGCATATCTTCATTCTTTTCAGTGTAATAAAATGGCTGAAATTAATGCTTATACATTTTCTATAGACTGTGGATTGAACGTACACAAACAGTGTTCAAAATACGTCCCTAATGACTGTCAACCAGACCTCAAGAGGATCAAGCGAGTCTATTGTTGTGATCTCACTACACTAGTAAAGGCCCACAACACACCAAGGCCAATGGTGGTAGACATATGTATTCGGGAAATTGAAGCAAGAGGTATTTATTTTTTTTAACATTTTGAAGTTATGGTTAAACAAATTTTCTTATAATTTGACTATGATTTTGCCACAGAATTTAATAATGAAAATGTATGTTACTTATAATATTCAATGTGTGGCTACATCAGTATTTTTTTAACACTAACGTAAGCATGTAGGACCAACCCGGATCTGCATGGGAAAGGGAAATCTAATTCTGCACATTCTGATACATACCTACATGTAATACATACAGCAGCTAGGAATAGTGGGTCTTTTAAATTAAAAATATTACTCCTAGTATCAAAACTAGCTTTCTAAAGCAAGTGGTAGTGGTCATAGCTGGAGAAGAATGGTTAAATTTTTGGTACCCACATGTTGTGGTCCCATTCTGGATTGAGAAACCTCTGCTTAGGTCAGGGTAGAGGGAAAGCACAGATATAATTGAATCTCTGTGTATTAAATGTAATATGTGAGTTGAGCATAACTAATGCATGGATCAAAATATTATGTGTCCTAAGAAAAGTTAACTTAATAGCACAGCCCTATACAGTGGTGCCTCGCAGAACGGTCGCTCCGTAGAGCGACGAATCCACGCAACAGTGCTGTTTTTGCGATCGCAAAAGCGATCGCAAAACGGCACCTAGATAGGGCAGGAATCACAGAGCGAAGGGCGGTAAGCGGTTCGCTTACTGACCTTCGCTTTGCGACCCGCCAATCAGCTGTTCCGCGGCTTCAAAATGGCCACCGGAACAGCCAAAAGGGCCGGGCGCAGCGTTTTCGCACCCTTGGTAAGCAAGGGGAGGGCGCGAAAACGCTGCCGGAACAGCCGAAATGGCTGCGCGCAGTGTTATCACGCCCTCCCCTCGCTTACCAAGGGCGCAAAAATGCTGTGCCCGGCCCTTTCGGCTGTTCCGGCTGCCATTTTGGACCCGCCGGACAGCTGATCGCAGCGTTTTCATGCCCTCGTTCAGCGAGGGGAGGGCGCGAAAATGGCTGCCAGCATCATTGAACGGTGAGTATTCAGCCCAATTGGAACGCATTAAACAGTGTTTAATGCGTTCCAATTGGTTTTCTTGCCCCGTTCAACGATGCTTTCACACTCGCTCAGAAGTCCCATTGAAGCCACTCAGATGTATTCCCAAACAGGTAAATGTGTACAAAATTAGACTCTTAATGAAGATCGTGGAAGGAAAATTTCAAATTCTTCTTCCCATCTGCAGCCCCCAAAAAGCTTTGTTGGAGTGTCAGATGGATTCTTCTGAACAATGTGGGATGAGATACTGGGATGGCTGGGAAGAAGACAGTTCTTCCAAACCAAGTGTGGACTCTTAAAATAACCCACTGAAGTTCACAGAAGGAATATTTCCTGCCCCTTCTGCAAACATTTTACACCATACTGCATATACTTCCCAGTAGCCTTCCTCCCTACAACCTTCTGGAAGTATTTTTCATCCATTGTGGCTGTTGGGTGGGACAAATTTGCTTTTGTTAATTCACTCAAGTTAACTTTTCCCAAAGTCCAACCCAATACCTTCAAAGAATGACTTTAAATCTGAAGAGAAGGACTAGTGTCTATGGAAGTTTATGTCAAATAAAACATGTTAGTCTTTAAAAGTCTTTAAGTTAGTTTTTAAGTCTCCTTGCTATTTTTACTGCAGAAGACTAACCCAACTACCTTCCTATGTTATATATAATTTTATTAAATTAAAATGGTGAAAAGGTATCACCATATAGAAAGCCATGGCTCTATGATTGAACTTGATGTTTTACATGCATGAAGTAACTGTGTTCCATGACTTATAGTGACCCTTTCCACAGTTTTCTAGGTAGAGAGTAGAGATGGGGTATTTGTATATGAAGCCACTCAACACCTGAAGCACAGGTGGTGTTAATGAGAGTCCAGCCCCATGGGGCTGGATGGTCCACTCACCGATCCGCCGTAGACGTGGACAGCACAATTCTACCAATGGCCCTGCAGTGCGCAATCTGCTTGCCACTCCTGGCAGGAGGCTGGAGGACAAGCCTCTCTGCAAGGTCGAAGAGTGGCAAGCGGATCATGCACTGCAGAGCCATTGGTAGAATCGCACTGTCCATGTCCGCGGTGGATCAGTGAGCAGACTGTCTGGCCCCATGGGCCTCATTAACGCCAGCTGTGCAGGGATATTCGTATACAAATATGAATACCCCCATCTCTTGTAGAGAGTACTCAGAAGTAGTTTATCATTCTCTTCTTTTTGGGGAGCATCATGGGACTGTGCAGCTTGCCCAAGGCCATACAGGCTGGCTCCTCTCATGGGAAGTACAGTGGGGAATTGAACTCCTAACCTCTGGCTCCATAGACTCTTAATGAAGAGTCACTGACCTGTCTAACCAGCTTTTACATGCTTAAGGTCCTAGCTTAATCCCCTGGTACCTCCAGTGAAAAGTATGGGTAGCAGCTTAGAAAGATCTTTGCCAGGGTCTTGTTGGTCGCAGAAGGAGCAGTGTCTGACACAACAGCCTCCCATGACCGTCCAGTTGATACAAAAACTGTTTTATCACAACTGCTTGAGTAGCGTCACATTTCCTCATGATGTACTGAGGTGAAGATTGTGAATTCCTCAAATAAATCAGGTGATTTCCTTTCCTGTTTCTGTGATCTGTAAATAATAATTCTTGAAATGCTATTATTCTCCATACACTTTTTGTTCTGGAACCAAAAAAAAAAAGATAATTGGCATACTTACTTCTATCAAAAGATGGTTATATGGTAAAAAATGTATCTTTTTTGTGAGAATGCAGATAACAGACACTTGTGAAAGGAAGGGAAATAAAAGTATACATAATTGAATATATATCTGTAAACTACACAGCACCTGATGACACTTTGACTTGCAGGTCTGAAATCAGAAGGGATATACAGAGTCTCAGGGTTCACTGATCACATTGAAGATGTCAAAATGGCCTTTGATCGAGGTACAGTATATTTTAATTTTATGACACTAATCAACTACTTGACTGGCTTCTACATGCCCTATCTTTACTGGACTGGTTCATGTTTTGATGGCATAATTAGAAGAAGAATAAATGGTTTTTCTCCTACAATGTCTATGTTCTTTTCTTGTGTTGTGTTATGTACTGATTCTTTTGCTATTTATCACTTGTACCAAAAGCCTGTCCTGTCTGGGGGAGAGAGAAAACAGATGCACAGCATTGCAAAAGATATGGGATAGAGTTTGTGACTAAAACAGTCAAATACAATTACAATGGAATGGTGTAATGTATTGTAATAAAGGGAGTTCAGGGTCTTCACTACAAAGCTTTCTAGAGTTGTGCAATGAATTATCAATGAAAAGTGAAATTCATTGTTAAAACAGTAGGTGTTCACTTGGACAGCAAAGTATTCTGTTACCAGATGGCAGGGACAATTGGTGCCCGTTGTGGCAGAATGCACAGGAGGAAATGGTGGGTGGAGCCATGGCACAAGTGGATGTTCATGCACAGCCATGCTCGTACAAATACATGCAAGCAGAAAGGCTAGGAAGCTTTCACACTTACAAGACACATAGGAATAATCTAGCCTGAGATTGAGATGGGGCCGTGCCTCATTTGCTACTGCTAGAATGGCTATTAGCACACGCTATTTCTGGCCATTTGCTTTTCCTTCACTATTCATAAAATTAGGAGGGCAAAAATTATAAGGAATGATGAGTTATGGAACAAAACTCAGGTCATTTGATTTTTTACATTTCATTCCACTGATACCTTAGTAAAAATGAGAGGACGAGTATTTGTTTATTCTTCCACTGAATGAATGTAGGTACTGTACAGCAACAGTTGCTCACTGAGCTGTTATTGTTGACTAGTTCTGTTCCTGTTAGCGTATAAAACATTCATTGTACAGTTTGTCCACAGTGTTCTCATTGTGATCAGTGCATTCTAAGTTTTTGTTTGTGTTGCTTGGCATTATACATTTCTTATAGGTCACATTGTGTTAAGGAGAAATCACACAGCTATATTCCCTGCCTGAGGATGTGGTGTCTTTATGGAAATCTTCATCAATCTTTGTGTTGCAAATAATTCAACACACATTCAGTGGCCAAAATCATCTTCATTACATCTGCCAGTGTAATGCCATTGGTGCACCATTTAGCAGTGAACTGCTGCAAGTTACAAAATTGGCATAGGCATTTGGTGTCACCCAAGTGGAGCATGATATGAAATGCATACATTGACTTCTTAATTTGCAGCACTTCACCACTGAAAGTTATGCCAAGGGCATCACACTGATGGGTGTAGCAAACAGGATTTTAGCCAATGTGTGTTTGAAGTGGAGACAATTACCCTCAGGCAGACAATTAAAAAAACTTGGTTGTCACCCAGGTCCAACTACTAACTGCAAAAAATCACCTTGTTTTCACTGTGCCATCATGACACTGACAGTCCTATAAATTCTTGTGAGTCTGCATCCTTGTACAGTTTTAGCAGCACTTTTCATCAGACTGAATTGCTTTTTTGCTGGAATTTAGCATGCATGCTCATAAGTCCTGTGTTTCAAGCCAACTTCTGTCTTTGTCATTTGCATTGCTTGTAGCAATTTATAGGCATAGAAATACATACAAGTCTCATTTCAAATTTTTCTACAATATAATTTGTGGTAATATCCAATGAATATTGCTTCTATTTTGTAAACTATTGACCTCACTATCCAATGAAGGGCCAGATAATGGCTGCAGCTTTGTGTTTTACCATATCTGGATGGGTATGAAAGCAGCTGCAGTATTTTTTTTCAAAGCATTTCCTTTCATTGTAGCACTTTAATGCTCATTGTACTGCAATTAAATAGAGCTGTCCAAACAATGTTTTATAATACTAATGCTACCATGCCAAGTACATAAGGATAAATATGAGGTTGGCTAGAATAGAATAAACATTGTGATGGCAGAAATGGCACTGTATTAGAACAAATGCTAATGTGCAGGTTTACTTTGTTGCATCAAATATTAGATTGCTTGCTTCCCACTGCTAGACACATTTAGACTAGAATCCTTATGCACACCTAATAGGGAGTAACCCTAAGCCCTATTAATCCAGAACCCAGAATGCTACTTTCTAAAAGTAATTTCTTATGTCTAACTCACTGTAGTGTTCCACCAAAGTAATTTGTTTGCATTAATCTGACCAGAAAAAAAATGCTTGTTATACAACTTGCTATTATCTGATGCTTATTTGTAGCCTCCAAAGATCCATAAGAAAAAGAAATACATTTTCCAACTTTTACTTTTTGGGGAAAAGAGCTCCTGTCGTGCCCTCACTGCGCCAAAATATACTGTCTTACTGTAATATATTACTTTCATACCAGACTGAAAACAGAGGAATTTATTTTAAAGGAAACTTACACAGGATTGTGCTGTTAGCTGGAAATAGCAGACTTTACTATTCCAATTATAGATATCCAGTGTGGTGTAGTGGATAGAGTAATGGGCTTGGGCTCAGAAGGTATGGGTTTGAATCCCCACTTAGCCATGGAAACTCACTGGAGGTGTGGAACTGGCAAAACCACTCATTAAATATCTCAGTGACCTGGAAATCACTATTAGGGTCACTATAAATCATTTCCAACTTGATGGCACATAACAGAATTATTCTAATGAAATGTAACCATTGAAAAATATTGTAGAACTTGACTTGTTACAAAATGCTGTGGAAAAAGTATGAAGTATGGAACTCTTAAAAGTTCCTGTTTCTCTCTTTCTCTCTTTTGGACAATTTGAAAAATCCCAGGATCTCCATGCCTAAACTGGTAGAAATATATTCCAACTACAAACCAGCACCAATGTGCTGAAGAATACATGTTTGTTACAGCTTCATTATCTAGCAGGTCATATCTAATCTCAAGTTCAAGTGCTGGTTATCACCTTCTAAGGCCCTAAGTTATTTCTTTTTAAAGAAATTATGTATTCAATTTTTATACCACCCATCTAACCCAGTGGTTACTCTGGACAGTTAACATGAATAATAAGAACATAAAAGCATTACATAATCTGTAGCAACATATAAATAGCAAGTTAAATTAAATAATAAAACAATTATGACATTTTGAATTATTAATAACATTAATCAATAAAATTAAGAAAGATGGTAATTAGATAAAAGCCTAATAAATGGGTTGGGAGCATGATATTTACAAGAAAAACCTTATATGTGTTTCTACCGCTATCGCCACACCCCTCTACAGAGATTGACTTGCAATGGCCCTTCATGCAGCCTATCACCATCTGACATTCTATTGTTAGGAATGCGTAGAAAGATATTCTACACTGTAGTTCCCAGGTTATAGTACTTCCTACCCCCAGAAATTAACCTCCAAGTCTCTAATTACATTTCATTAGTCACTGAATAAGACAATATGCTGGCAGGTGCTTCTGCCCTCTGACTGTTTTGATTTTATCTGTCTTCCTATGTTGTTGCTATTGGAGTGGGTTGCATTGGTATTGTTTTAACAGTTACTTTCAACCTGAGTGTTAGCTATCTTAGCTGTGTTTCCTAAAACAAAAAGCAGAATAGAAATTTATCATAAAATTTTAAAATAAAGTGCCAATGAAGACAATAGACATGACCCTCTGATTTACTGTATTACAAGAAAGGAATATTCTCACTGTGTGAACATGATCACATGTTGTCCTTGAACAAGCCTGTTATTGCTATCTGTTGTTGAGTTGCTTCCAACTTATGATAATCCTGCCAAGGTTCCCAAGGTATGCGAGAGGTTCAAGGAGTGGTTTGCCAGCATCTCACAATTAATTTCCATGGCTGAGCAGGAATCTGAGTTCAAGTTTTTTGGCCCAACATTTTATCCACCATACCACACAGTGTGGCCTATGGACCAGAATAATGCAAGAGCATTACTGTTCAGATTTTAGGGCATCTTCATGGCAAGAACAACAGAGGAACCACTTGAGAAAAGAGACTTACAGTATTTGCTGGCATATAAGACTACTTTTTTGCCCTGGAAAACATGCCTCCAAGTGGGGGGCGTGTCGTCTTATATGCCAGGTGCACTTCAGTTGGGATAGACATAGCTGCCCATAGTAGCCTTCCAATGCTCACCCGGTGCCCATAGTAGCCTCCCAATGCCTGCCCACCTCATTCTACATACTGTCCAGTATCGCGCGGTATCCAGTGCGGCTGCGGCGAGCATCAGCAGTGAGACAGGGGTGCCAGCCTTTTCGACGTGACTGGCCCATTCTGCTCGGCGGGAAGCAGCGGCGCTCCGGCCCGCCCCTTGTCTACACAGAGCTCACACATGCGGACTTGCGCACTAGTGCCAGTCACAGGGAGATGCAGGGGCAGGCCGGAGGCGCTGCAGTCACACTCCGGCCGTACAATGGTGACAATGAATAGCACCTTTTATTTGGTGTGTGGAAGATGTGTGGAAGAGGGGGGTAGTGTTATACAGCAAGTATATAACGAACTCTATATTTTGAGTGGAAATGTTGGGGGGGGGGTTGTCTTATACGCCCAGTCGTCTTATACGCCGGCAAATACAGGGTAAGTACAAAATAAGGAAGCTGATGGTGGGCTGAAGTAAGGCATTATATCTTTGTGCTATTGCAACAGTTCCCCCCCACCTCCCACTCCCAAGATCAATCCCTTCACTTCCCAGAAAATTTCAACTAACATATATATGTATGTTCTAAAGAAATATTTAACTTTGCTGAAATGAAATGTCTTCTTGAAACCTATCCTTCATCTTTTCTAGATGGGGACAAAGTCGATCTCTCTGCTAACGTTTATCCAGACATAAATATAATTGCTGGAGCACTGAAGCTGTATTTCAGAGATTTACCTATTCCTGTTATCACATATGACACTTATTCCAAGTTTATAGAAGCAGCAAGTAAGTACCAAGACATGCCACCTGTCATTCACAACCATGCCATTTCCCCCTTTCCCCACACTTAACCCTACAGTTCTAAAACTTTTCTACTTTAAATCCTGGCTTTGTCTATTTCGGTTTATTCAGCCCATGTTCAGTTTTGGGCTAAACATCTGTGACTGCCATCCTTTGGAGGCATTATGAAGTTTGACATCCAGTCAATCAATTAATGAAATGTAACTTTATTTTCATTGACATGCTGGCATTTTTATCTGTTAAAGTGTGTGCTAATGTTCTAATGTGTAGAACTGTCCAGTCCTGATGAAAGACTTGAAGCTGTCCATGAAGTGTGTCTGTTACTTCCTGCTGCACACTATGAGACTCTTAGATATCTCATGATTCATCTCAAAAAGTAAGTTAATTTCCTGGTGCTTTATTATCTCATATTTTTCTTGGTTCTCACAGAAGGGCATCATGTTGTATAATTCCCATCATTTTGGCCCATTTGCTGCCTAACCTTTTACATCTATGTATGTGTAAAAGTTCAGATAAAGGGCCATGGAAATGAACACAGATGTTCACACTGCTCTTCTGGGATGACTGACCCACCTCATTCTGTGGGCTGCTATGAACAGAAACCTTAGTTAATTCCAGATTTTTGAGTGAATCTGAGCTAAGTAAGTCATACTCATCAGGCAGCTGCCCCAAACAACTGAGTTGTCATCTCATAAAAGGTAAAGGTTCCCCTTGACATTTTTAGTCCAGTCATGTCCGACTCTAGGGGGCGGTGCTCATCCCGTTTTCAAGCCGTAGAGCCAGCACTTGTCCGAAGACAGTTTCCGTTGCCACATGGCCAGTGTGACTAGGGAATGCTGTTTTACCTTCCCACAGAGGTGGTACCTATTTATCTACTCGCATTTGCATGCTTTCGAACTGCTAGGTTGGCGAGGAGCTGGGACAAAGCGACGGGAGCTCACTCCGTTGCGCGGATTCGATCTTACGACTGCTGGTCTTCTGACCCTGCAGCACACAAAGGCTTCTGCGGTTTAGCCCACAGCGCCACCACTCATAAAAGGCAGCAAATTCTCACTTGTGTCATTGCATGGAGACTTTGAGACCAGAACAGGCACCCCTGAAATGTTTGCCATCTACCACTTGGTCCACAGTCTGTCTCTACAATTGTTATTGCATTTTCACTGTGGTGTACAAAGAAGGAGGGTTTTTCATGTCTGCCCTTACATGACATTTTGAGTACTTTACAAAAAAAGAAGGAGGGTTTTTCATGTCTGCCCTTTGAATAATATGTACCTTGACTTGGATAAGTGAGAGGCATTATTCTGGCTGACATCAAGTAGCAAAATGTTTTAGACATGACATTTTGAGTACTTTACAAAGAAGACACTTGTTAGATCCCTATAAGGACTTACAATCTATAACGAGGCACAAGGAAGCAAATGGAGAAAGGAAGGGAAACCAAAGTATGACAGGAAGGGGGGGGCATACAATTATTTGAACTTCATCTTCTTTGGCTTACATTCAGTGGGATACTGGTGAAGTATATTTATTTTAAAGGCTTTTTAAAAGAGTGATTATTCATGGAGGAGTATGATGGAAATATTGGAGATGGCTGCAAGAGGAGTGGAGTAATCTGAGAGAGTGAGACACTTTTGAACAGCTGAAGGTGGTAAAGCTGCATTACCAATGTTCACAGAGAGAACATGAAAAATAGTGGGGAGCAAAGTAAAAATAAAAGGAGTGGAGTAATCTGAGAGAGTGAGACACTTTTGAACAGCTGAAGGTGGTAAAGCTGCATTACCAATGTTCACAGAGAGAACATGAGAAATAGTGGGGAGCAAGGTAAAAATAAAAAGTCTATGCAGGATCTGGAGTGAAGAAACAAGTCAAGAAATATAAGGGGGTTATATGGTGTAGTCGGAATAATGAATGGGAGTAGAATGTTCTACACTTTGGCTGTAGTCTTACTATACCATGTAGAATTATCATTCATTATATGAAGTAAAAGTAACATTACAAAGTGAGATTGGTATTGAAAAATCTAAAAAATGTATCTTTTTTTTTCTCCCACCTTTAGGATTACTATGAATGAAAAAGATAACTTAATGAATGCAGAAAATCTTGGCATAGTGTTTGGACCTACTTTAATGAGACCCCCAGAAGATAGCACCCTTGCTACGCTCAATGACATGCGGTATCAGAAGCTGATTGTGCAGATACTAATAGAAAATGAAGATGTTTTGTTTTAGACAAACAAATCTGTAAATTCATAGCCTTCTGCTATGGAAATATATATTTAAATATATATTTTAAAGGAAAACAAATTCCTGTAAGAAAAAAATGCATAGCACTTCCTTTTCTGCTGTACTGCAGATGAACATCAGAATTTTTAGTACAGGGCATGTCTTATAGACATATACCTATTTTTTATTATTTAAGAGAGAATACAGGTTTTAAAAATCCTTTTGCCTTCTATCTTTTGCCTTGCTTCCAATGTGTATCTATATACAAAGGTTACAAACTGATCTGCTGTTAACTTATTAAAGGACACATTCTTTATTTGTGTATTTAGATCGTTGAAGCAAAAAGGTACTTTCAGCCTGATTCTCAAAACACTGTGCTGGCAAAATTCCTGTTAAAAAGAACTGGGTCAGTACAGCAACCTGTAGGGTTACAGTTCTACATTCCCTTCCAGCAAAAATAAACCGTATGCGAAAGCAGATTTCAATTAGGCTACATATTATCCAATATTAATCCCAACTACTGTACAGTATAACTAATAAAATGAATGGGACTTGTTCACCCCATTAATAAGCTGATTTTAATTGATCTACTCTTTTGGGGACTGATATTAGATGTGTACAATAATCCATTTGTTGGGAATCTTCATGCACAAATACACATAGCCTGCTTCTACATACATGGATTTCTAGACTATGCTCATTACAAAGAAATGAATGCCATTCAACTTAGTGGGACTTATTTCCACATGACAGCCATAATATGTACCTTCATAAGCACTGGTATGTTCCATTGTTTTCTCTTACAAAAAATAATGATACATTTAACGTGCAAGATCACAATAAATGGCCATGATTGAGCACCTCTGATGCCAGTCAGAACCCCGTACCAGCAAACAATTCCTAGTTCTCTTCTATGTGCACCAAAATGTTCTGCACACAGAAGGAAGAATTCCCAGATGCATGGGAAACTTTTCTATTCATTGGGTATCAGAGGATGCTACACACAGGATGTTTTAACTTCTCTGAGATATTTAGGATCAGGGTGTTTGTCAGTGTTAGCTGTATATGGATATATGATTTCTTTGTATGTAAGACATAATTGTATATGTCTAAAATGAAACAGAACATGTATTTTAAAATATATTTTTACTTTAGTTAGCTGCAGGAATGTCTTTTTTTTATTTAGCAAAATATAATTCAATGCGGTGCATTGATGGATTTTCATATATTCCTCTTGAGCATTATTGCTATGACATACTGAAAACATTCACCACTACAGCAGTATTATCCTGACATACCTCTTTCATTGCATATGATTTTAAGGAGACTCATCTATCATGCATTAACATTCTTTGGTTTGTGTTTTATTTTAGGTATGATCAAAGTTCTTTGCTTTTAGAGGTATGGTATTCTGGAGCAGATACAGTATTATGATTATCCCCCCTCCCCCAAAGGAGGGGCACTGAAGGTTTTTAAATAGTTTTGGCCCTAGAACCAATTACTACATAGAATGCATATTTAAAATAAGCGAAGCCAAAATATTGAATATTTTCTGGCATTGCTGAAAAGTTAGCACTTATTTGTGGTTAATTTGTTGTTTTTAAATGCCGTGTTGCATTACCTTGCTATTGTATTTACAAAAGGAAATCTGTTTAAAATTAAGCATTTTTCTTCAATGTCTTCTGGCAAATTTGTTAATAAAGGAGAGAGAGAATGAATAAGAGTGAGAGAACTGGTAAATTACCATATCTCATTTGGTTTCTTCCCCATCTTTCCAGTGTCTAACATAAGGAAATTCATTCTAATACTGGACTTTTTCCCCTCATCATGAGATTTTTGTACAAATATTTAAAACAAAGAAGGTAGTGTAATTTATTGCAGAACTAATTTTGTAAAGCTCTGTTAAGTTCCTCTCTTAGTTTGTATGCATCAGAACTTTCAAGACCTAGTTATTGTTTTCCTAAATTATTTCAGGGATAACAGGTTTCTATACATGCTTTTAAGAAGTATCAATAACTTTGATACAGGAAAAAAAAGAGTAAAGACAAAAGAGGACACAGAAAATAATTTGTATTAGTTGTCTCTCACATAGGTCATCAAAGACCAGGGAAACAGACCCAGGCTGAGGGTCAAATGTTAGTGAGGTCTGATTTGCTGGTACAATATGATTAGAGATTCTCCGAAGCTGTACAGATATAATTGTTGTAGGTTATGTACTAAATACTGTCATGAAATTGTATGGAAATGGTTTTATTTTGTGAAGTGAAATATACTTTGTAATTTATGAGACTGTAAATGGAAAGAAAAAAAATTAAATGTGTTTGAGTTCCTGTCTGTAATTTTTACTGTACAAAAACAATCTTAGTTTCTCTATAGCTGTTTATATTTGCATAATTTCCATATGGGCAACAATTGTCAGGCAACAAACTGTTTAGCGATGCATTTTGCTAATGGCATTAAGATATAAGCCACTGAAACATCTGAAAGGTTTGTCAAGGCATACAAAAGGGATTGGTTCACCCAGTTCCTACATTTTACTGGACTCTGTTAGTGTTTCCTTCTTCAACCTTTAACAAGTTAGAAAATACGTAATTGCATTTTATGCTTTCTTGAAATTAATGTCAACTCTTTAGAACCATACAGTGGGAAAATATGTTCTTTGTGATAGGAGAGTTTTAAGGAGGGGTTTGATGGAAATAATAGAGATATGTCCACAGAGTCATACTGGAAGGCACAAGGGGAAGGAAGAGGAAAAGAATCTCAGAGAGCAGGAAACATTTGGACAGCTGAAGCTGGATTTCCAAAGGTCACAGAAGGGATGTGAGAGATACTTAAATAAAAAGCCTGTACAAGATCTGCACATGAACCAGAAACATTATTATCTTTCCCAAATTCCACTTTTATCTAGAACTCTTTTGTATTCATGACTCTGAGTAACAAATACAGGCAACAGTATCACGAAAGTTTCTTATTGTATGATTTTAAAGAAACTAATTAAGAGGCTATTTTATATATAATACAATGTACATTTTACAAGGATATTGCACTCTTCTCAGTAGCACTCCAAAGTGCACAATAAAATTTGGCTATAGTTTCTCTTGGATGACCATCGGGTTTTGCCTAATACAAATTCACAGTTGCTATTTGGAGAATGACACTACTCTTTGTGAAGCTCAAAATACAAACAGATAGTCCTGGTGTGCATACCTTCACCCATCAATTGCTTCTGGTCTCTGCTGCAACACCTAATCTTAAGTCCATTATCATCCTGTAGACCAAAGGCAAATAAATCAAGGCTTTGAAAATAAGACATGGTGCCTTAATTTCCAGCTACATTGTTACTGTGTAATTGCTGGAGTTTGAGGAAGTTTGACAGAGTCTCTGTGAAATCTTGTGACTTGTTTGTACTGATAACTTCTACGTTCAGAAAGACCTTTAGTACTCTTTAAACGTATCATGTAACTACAGAAACACAGTGTCTTCCTTTCATAGGCACTAGTACATTGTTGCAAAGTTCTCTGAAAACAGTTTCAGACTGTCTGCCGATTTTATTGTGCACACTGTTCTTAAATTTGTAAAAATTGGAGCATGTCATATGTAGAGAACAAGAGGGTTTAGAGTCAGGTATGAGAGTATGCTACTGTTCTTGGATAACAGATGGTTTCGGGGTAAAAGGCATGTACTACAGGAGCTTTATCAATTGAAATGATTTACAAATACTTACATGACCTATTCTATTAACAATTTATGGTTACTGCTAAATCATAACATTTAAACATACAAAATTATTCCTATATTGAACTTTCCTGAAAATTCTGTGGCACAGATTAATAATTTTTCGAACTTCACAGATGGGAATGACACTGAAAGGTAGGGATTTGCCCAGAGTTATCCAATAAGACTGTAGTCAGCTCAAACCTTATGTCCCAAGAAACATTTTGTCTACTGGACCTTATTGCTTCTCTACAATAAATATATACTAAGAAAAATAGACATTGAAGAACAGGTGATCACATTTTCCTGTTCCATTAACAAATGCGCTCAAGATCTGCCAGAATATAAAAAGAGAAGATCTGTAATTATGGCCCTAACTTTTAGCAATTTGCCAGCTCAGCCTCAATTGTATGTAATCTTAATTGCATGTATTATAGTGTTGTTCCTATCCTACACAATATTGAACATAATAATCATAGACTTTGGAGTTAAGTGGTGCCATGATTAGAGAGAGAGAGGGAGGGAGAAGTTCAGCTTTCCTATCAGCATGAAGTTCATTGGATGGCCTTGGTCAGTCCACAGTCTTTTAGTACAATATAATCCACCGATTTGTTGCACACATAAAATGAGGAAATCCAATTTATGTGTTTATTAGTTTACTTAATAGTCCTTTTTTATCCTAGGAGACTAAGGCAGCATACATCTTCCTCTTTCTGGTTTATTATCATAACAACTGAGCTGTGACTAACTATATGGCACACAGGGCAAGTGACACTATCTCCCACACATGCTACTCTGTGGCATATTATTACATTTTTCAGTTACTGACAGAATTATTATTTTAGCTTGGAATTACTACTAAAACTACTACTGCCATTTTTATTACCTTAAAGGTTACTACAGAGGGTAAACATAACAGAATATTTGTACACACATATGTCCTTCTTGAGGGGAAAAAAGGAAAAATGTATTTTATTTTATTTTTTTGGTTACGTTGAGTGAGGGTAAACATAACAGAATATTTGTACACATATACTGTATATGTCCTTCTTGAGGGGAAAAATGAAAAATGTATTTTTTGGTTACGTTGAGTGGTCCCTTCACAGATTGCTGCCTTGTTATGGCGAAGGGGCTTGAGTAATTCAGAGAACCTATGCTGTGCAGGGACACCTAAGACGGAGAGGACATAGTAGAATGTTCCGACTAAACGCAATCCACCTGGATCAGGAAAGGGCAAGCCACACCAGTAACTTTGCCATTAAATCTCCATGGACAGAAACAAACGACTAAAAGATATGACACTGGAAGTTGAGCCCCTCAGTTCAGAAGGTGTCCAACATCCTACTGAGGAAGAACGGAGGACAAGGACAAGTAGTTCCAGAGCTAATGAGGTGGCTGGGCCAAAGCTTAAAGGATGCTCAGCTGTGGACATGCATGAAAGTGAAAGGAAAGCCCGATGCTGCAAAGAA